GGGCAGCTCGAGAAAATGGAAACTGAAAGGAATCATGAAGACCTTGTTAAAAAAAAATAAAGTCAGCGTGCAGCAGGCACTGCATGACGGGAAATGGGTGATGACAGTACTGGAGAAAAGCAACAAAAGGTGACTAAAAAAATTCAGATGATAACAATGGGACAATTCAATAGAAAAATGCTAGTTCCCTGAGCCGAGGACAAAAGGGTTGATCCTCTGAGTAGCCAAGGTTAAACTGGCATCACCTATTTGTAAAAATTGATAACTAACCCATGAAACACTGGACACCTGCAGGAGGAGCCCTCACAACAACATGGGAAACTCCTCCATTTTTTCACATTCAAAACAGTGAACACACCCCAAATTTTGTGCTATATGTCTACTCCTGCTTAACTGCTGAAATTACTCTGCTGCTTTTTTTTTTTTTTTTTTTTTTTTTAGTTAAATTCATCAAAAGAGAAGTCATTGGGTATCAGGGAGAAGGAACTTTGAAGAGCTGGGGAAAAACTCCTAGGATCTCAGCAGATAATTCCTTCATGAGGGAATGGCTATTTGAGCAACTGATTCTAGTAAATATTTCTAATCACCCTTACCATAACTGTTGGACTCTTTTAATTATATGGTTGGTAGACTGTCTAATAAAACTAAAATAATATAAACTTTTAAAGTGTTTTGAACACTCTAACTGATTTTTAGTACTTCTAAATGTGATTGCTGTGCTTCACAACACAGAAGTTCACCTCAAAGGCTTTTTTTCTCTTGCTGTTTTGAAGGTGCTGCAAAAAACACTCCTAACTGAGAATTACTGTAATTCACGAACATTTATCGAAATACATGGGAAAATACTAAGCACGGAAAGAATGCATTGCATTTCTAGAATATTCCCTATTTTCTGTCCAGTTACGTTTTATAGTCTCAGTACAGGAAACATGGGATTCAAGTCGAAAACTTAAAAAATTAAGATTGGGCGCTGGTGGGGGAGTAGGCTTAAAAGATTACCATGAAATCTTGAAGTTCACTTTTACTAAGAGTGAATCAAAGAATTTTCATCTTCATTTGAACAGACATCTACAGGCACAATTTTTTGGACTCAAGTTTGGCTTTCCCACCTGAAGATTTCCCTTGCATAGAGTAAGAAAAGTTTCAATAAAAAGACAGCCTAGAAAAAAGGGATAGAATTTTTAATTGCCATTTGTTTAATGAAAGAAGGAAGAATAAACATTATTATAATGACTTTCAAAAGCGGCTTATACTCTCAAATTGACCTTCCACTACCTAAGCTTAAATACACAGTGACTGAGAAGCATCAGCCTGAATTCTAACACTTCATTAAGGACTTACATATAACTGCTGCTTTGCACATTTAAACAGTAACAGATGCTCGTGACACTTGGTGCTCTGCTAAACAGAACAGTAACGTTTAAAAATCAATTCTACCATCTTTTATAGTCCTCTCAAGTTATAGCTGAAGACACTGTCTTGTAGAAGCTACAGTAGAAATTAGTACACGTCATTAGTATTAGCTGCGTGAAAGGACAACACAGAAAAACTGGAGCAGATTAGACTACAGAAAATTCTGAATAGTTGCTAAGCTTAGAGTATCCATACAGACAATACAGAAAACTCACTTTTAATTTGTTCCCTGTCTACCTCGGTGAAAGCTTATATAACTTTTGCTTAAAGAAGTTAATGCCCTGCTTTTGTTTAAGTTTCTGACACTGCAGATAATCCTGATTAGTGCTAACCTATTTTCAAGAATCAGGACCACAGAAGTCTTGTTTCAGCCACTTTTTATGGGCAGAACTCATCAAAATTGAAGGAATCAACATATTAAAAATTTATTTTTCTATAGGAAACAAAAAAATATTTTTTGATTTTGAATAAGTCATCAGAGTGCTTAAGTGCTCTAGCAAGGGACCAAGACTAGGACTCCACTGCGGCTGGTGTTATACAGTCAGAGAGCAAACCTTCATTATTCACTGAAATGAAATAGAATAGTTCCAAGATGTATATATTTTATGCTTATTTATACATATGTTTTGTATATTCTTATACACACTGAATGCATACTCTCTATGGACTTTTTATTTGCTTAATGAGTAAGAGCATTGAAGATGTACAAAATTATTCAAACACTGCAAACCACCATCAGCTTGGTTTCAAGCATTCTTAATCACTGTGAAGATTAAAGACCACTTACATCAACTACACATTTACTCATAGTTCCACAGGGGACAATTACTCTTTTCCATTAACGAATCATTATTCAGAAGTTCACAGTCTGGTGCCTAAGTATGAATAACCAACCACCCAGAAACCCTCCATTATTTTCTGCTTATCTAACTAAGAGCAAAAACATTAACAAGCAATTATCCCAGAAAATTATTAATCATCCAATACATTCCAAGCAGAGTGATAAGGAAGGACTTGGGAAAATAATCAGCATCTACAAGCAATATTGAAGATATTGTACCAGAGACTATTGTCATTAGAAGATGGAGAACGTGTAAGTTCTCGCAACAAATATCTAAATTAGTCTTTACTGTATCATCGTTATTCTGCCATGAGCAATCTGAATGGGAAAACAAGACTCTCGGGTACATCCTCCAGCTGCCCAGAAGAGCAGCAACACCAACTCTTTGCACAAATCCCACCCCGTGGCCATTTCACAAGGAATTCCATGGGATCTTCTCCTCCTTTTAATGCAGTTTAGCCAACAACACATATGCACTAAAGTAGGGCATACTGAAGACACTTAGAGGACAAAGCCAACAGAAAAGTAAGTTTCACGACAGTTAAAAATGCCCTGTAGTGCTTTTAGTACTTTTGGCTACCTCGTGGGATACACTGAGAGTATCCCACACTTATCAACGTGTGAACACACACTTATCAACGATGACTACTAGACCCGACCAGTGGCCATCGCTGGGGTTAGGAGTTCAGGGGGTGAACACGCGGGTCACGAGTAACGCGGTCAGACGCGGTGGGGCAGCTCGTTTTACAATTTGCTCACCTCCAGACGGAGGCGTCCTCCTGGAAACACGCGTTTCACAGGTACGGATGGCAACTAAAGCCTGGAATTGCAGGTGCCAGCTCAGCTTCCCCAGGGCAGGGGGAAGACCCTCAGGACCCGCACCCGAGAGCCGTGTCCGCAGGAAAACACCGCTGAGGGGGGTCCCTCCCGGCGGGAGGCTCCCGCCGCCGCCCCCCCCCCCCTTCCCCTCAAGCCGCTTCCGCTGCAAAACGGTTTCGCGGCCGAGGTAACAACGCTGCCGATCGTGTTTGCTTTAAGGAGGGGCGGGAGTTGGAGGGGAGTCTTTTGTCTATCCCACTTCGGGACTGGGCAAAAAAGTTAAAGCGCTCCCGGGATGGACGGGGAGGTCGCCTCAGCGCCGGGCCCGCCCCGCCGCCCCTGGAGCCCAGCCGCCCGGGGACTCCCAGCGGGGCCGGGCGAGGCGGCGGACTTCGTCCCGCTGCCGCTCCGGCCGGTTTCGAAACGGCACGAAGCGTCCCGCACGGCGGCCAAAAGGTGCGTTCCTGTGGAAAGTTCCACCCGCTCCCCTGCCCTGCCTCCCCCACAGACCTCTCCCCTCGCCGCGGCCAGTCCTGGCCGCGGGAGCCCCGGCCCCGCCGCCACCGCTCGAGGCAGCGCAGCCCGCCCCCTGCTCCGCGCCCTCCCGCCGGCGGCCCCACCGCCTCACAGGGAGCGGCCTCGTCCTCCGCGCCGGGCAGCTGTGAAGGGGAGAGGAGGGTGTGCGAGTGAGTGTGGCCGCAACCGGTGGGCTGAGGAGGCTCTGAGGGGAGAGTTCCTGGGAGCCGTGAGGAGAAGGGCCGGGAAAGGGCGGGAGAAGGGAGTTGAGGCCGCGGTGGGACTGGACCGAGCGGTGGCTTCGGGGGCTCGGCCCTCCCGGTTCCACCGCCGGTGGCAGCCCCTCACACACAAGCGGCTCTGAGGGAGGCACCGGCCTCCCCGGCCGGGAAGGAGAAAGACGCGGCCCGTGGGCGCCCGGTCCTGCGGAGGGGATCGGGGCAGGCCGCGGTCCCCATCCTCAGGGCGTCGGGGCGGGAGCAAGAGGCGTTGTGGGCCCCCAGAGCCGTGTCCGGGCTCCCGCAGACCTGCGGGGGTGCACAGGCGGCCTGGGCAGGCAGATAAGTTTGTTCATCAGGGAGGAAATGGTGGGTGAGTAGGCTTTAACAGTTTCGGCCGTGGAAACGAAACTTATCTCGGGGTTTCTGTAAGTGAATGAACTTTTTCACTAGAAGAACCGAAGGGAAAGTTAGTCCAGAGCACTCCCACAGCAGATGAATTTAAACTGGTTACACGATTTGCAGTGGGGTGAAAAAGCCAAGAGGTGTTTTTACCTGAGAGGCTGTCCCTCCTGTCTTACACAGGCAGAGCTGACAGGATTTGGCAGCGCATTGCCATGAAGGGTAAACGTCCAACAAAGGTCCCATTGCTCTGCCACACCATGTACTGTCCATGCTGTTGCACATCTCCAGGAGAGGGTCATATTTCTCTGCCAGAGAGGATATTCCTGGTTTGGACCTGGCAAAATAGGACAGTGAGAAAAGGTTCAGCCACAGTGACCATCTCCTCTTTGTTTTGGGATTGGTTTAGAGGAACTGGGGTGGGATAGTGCTCATGCAAGAGGATCATGTGGGGATAAGAGCAGGTATGGATCAATATGGGAGGGCGCCCCAGCGCGGGCCCCGCCCCGCCGCCCCTGGAGCCCAGCCGCCCGGGGACTCCCAGCGGGGCCGGGCGAGGCGGCGGACTTCGTCCCGCTGCCGCTCCGGCCGGTTTCGAAACGGCACGAAGCGTCCCGCACGGCGGCCAAAAGGTGCGTTCCTGTGGAAAGTTCCACCCGCTCCCCTGCCCTGCCTCCCCCACAGACCTCTCCCCTCGCCGCGGCCAGTCCTGGCCGCGGGAGCCCCGGCCCCGCCGCCACCGCTCGAGGCAGCGCAGCCCGCCCCCTGCTCCGCGCCCTCCCGCCGGCGGCCCCACCGCCTCACAGGGAGCGGCCTCGTCCTCCGCGCCGGGCAGCTGTGAAGGGGAGAGGAGGGTGTGCGAGTGAGTGTGGCCGCAACCGGTGGGCTGAGGAGGCTCTGAGGGGAGAGTTCCTGGGAGCCGTGAGGAGAAGGGCCGGGAAAGGGCGGGAGAAGGGAGTTGAGGCCGCGGTGGGACTGGACCGAGCGGTGGCTTCGGGGGCTCGGCCCTCCCGGTTCCACCGCCGGTGGCAGCCCCTCACACACAAGCGGCTCTGAGGGAGGCACCGGCCTCCCCGGCCGGGAAGGAGAAAGACGCGGCCCGTGGGCGCCCGGTCCTGCGGAGGGGATCGGGGCAGGCCGCGGTCCCCATCCTCAGGGCGTCGGGGCGGGAGCAAGAGGCGTTGTGGGCCCCCAGAGCCGTGTCCGGGCTCCCGCAGACCTGCGGGGGTGCACAGGCGGCCTGGGCAGGCAGATAAGTTTGTTCATCAGGGAGGAAATGGTGGGTGAGTAGGCTTTAACAGTTTCGGCCGTGGAAACGAAACTTATCTCGGGGTTTCTGTAAGTGAATGAACTTTTTCACTAGAAGAACCGAAGGGAAAGTTAGTCCAGAGCACTCCCACAGCAGATGAATTTAAACTGGTTACACGATTTGCAGTGGGGTGAAAAAGCCAAGAGGTGTTTTTACCTGAGAGGCTGTCCCTCCTGTCTTACACAGGCAGAGCTGACAGGATTTGGCAGCGCATTGCCATGAAGGGTAAACGTCCAACAAAGGTCCCATTGCTCTGCCACACCATGTACTGTCCATGCTGTTGCACATCTCCAGGAGAGGGTCATATTTCTCTGCCAGAGAGGATATTCCTGGTTTGGACCTGGCAAAATAGGACAGTGAGAAAAGGTTCAGCCACAGTGACCATCTCCTCTTTGTTTTGGGATTGGTTTAGAGGAACTGGGGTGGGATAGTGCTCATGCAAGAGGATCATGTGGGGATAAGAGCAGGTATGGATCAATATGACAAGAAGTCATTGAAACTGCTGTTTTCATACATGCAATCCAATTATGTATGTTGGGTTTACAGTAAATCAGAATGGCTTGATTTTTGACCTCTGCACTTCAGAACTTAAAAGCACAGAAATTTGGCAATCATCTAAACACTCAAAGTCGCTTGAATATTATGACCAGGACACTGTTGACTGACTTCATTCCCAACTCCCTCTTTGCAAGATAAAAATTCTCTCAAATATTACTCTGCAAGTCCTGTTCCACTTGATGTAAAACAACAAAAAGGCATATAAAACCACGAAATAACATCTAACTATAAATCTGGCAAACATATGTGATGGAGTAGATTCAACATACTACTTCAGTTACTTAAAAGTAACACTAGATTTAACTTTCTTGACTGGTAGTTCAGCCTTCTAGCCCAGACAGTAGGTACTGTAACTGTCTTGGTACATATTTTTGATCACTATTATTTCCAGTTTTCTCAGAGAATGGGACAGCTCCAATTGGTTAAGAATAATGATGCACAGTGCCCCTTAACTTTTCTAGATTAGCCATCTTATCCACCTACAGAACCATTTTGTTAGTGTCCATTTTTCACTATATCCCCTCTATGCGTGCAGGATACCTACTCTCCTCTCTTTGTTGTGGAGGGGGAGCCCTTTAAACCTAAAAGTTTAGCAGTAGGGTCCCTAGCCTGAATCCTAGCACTTACTCTTAGCTTTCTAACAGACTGGGCGAGCTAATTTAGTCCTCAGATGCCCTACACAGCCTCTTACGTATCTTTTTATCTTCTTTTTGTCTCCTCCTTTTAAAAAAAGTTGCAGTGATAGATACCTATGGGTTACATCAGGGTTTATTTCTCATGCAAGCCTGATACTGCATTCAGAAATGTGTTACAATGATGCAAGGAGCCCAAAACACCTAACTTCAGAACTCCTGGGCCCATTTCTAGTTACCTGGTGTAAAATTAGATATTAAATTGTAGCAATAAAATTTTCCTGCTGGGATTCTTATGCTCTCCTCAGTCTTGTAAGACCACTGTCTACAGACCCTGCTGAATAGTAATAATAACAGTAAATACATAGTTTTTTAATATGAGCTCCAGATTTTGAAGCTCTAGTACAATACAGTGAGTGTATTTTATGTTGTTGCAATATCTTTTTCTGCAGGTCTATTCACTGATTCCTGGGAAACATCTTACTACATGTTCATAAAGAGGCCCATGATATGTGAGAATCCAGATAAAGACATGCAGTAATATCCAGTAAGGCCCAGAAGACAACTTTTTGTTGGCAGTAAGTACAGAGCATTCCAGTAGAAATATGTTGTGCAAACCTCCCTATTTCTATATATTCTGTTTTGACATAGCCATTACAATAATAGACCTGGCCATAAAACTATAATTCCCTACTGGGTAAATTGGGTCAACTTTGCCAGCACAACTCAGAGCCTCAGATGACTCTACCTATTAGGAAAACAACTTGATTTTACCAGTTACTGGAAAAACACATTCTCGCTGAAATACAGTTCGTAGGAACACTGCACAGATTACAAATTTTCTCTGGCAAAAAGGCCAGATAAAATCAAGGGTAAGTTGAGAGTGAAGATGCATTACATTACTGTTTGACTAAGTTCAAAAGTTCAAAAAAGGTCTTTCTAACAAGACTATCTTCTGCAGGAGAACTTGAACTGTGATAAACATATATATGCTCATAGAGCTACACAGATTATTTTAGAGAGAAGCATCATCGTGTTCTGATTTCAGGACTACATGATCTCAGTCCTTAATACCAAACCCTTCAATACGAGGTTGAATTGGCCTATGAATTTCAAGGCCTGCGTATGCGAGAGGCTTTTAACAAATCAGCTTTTAAAAGGGTCTAGACTTCAGTATTAGGGTTCTGACATAAGGCAAGACATGAGCACTTAGTCCTGTAACATCAATGCTGCCTTTGGAGTGTCACTTGAGATAGTGTTTTTCAGATGCTCAGTGGCCACTGCTTATGCTGTAGCAAGCTGTAGAATTACAGCCTCCCAGGACTCTGCAGGATCTACCCTCTTTACAGCCAACAAGTAGGTCAGTTGTAGGGTTAACAGCCAGCATTCTGGCTAGGAGTCACAGTAGTATTTGATAGATCCCACACCAAAATAAGCAGACCAGTACTTATTCCAGAGTCTGTGAACCCTTCCTGTCTAAACAGTAAATGGTGACCATCTGTAGTACCAAAACCTGAGGGTTTACTTCCTCAGGGGCAGGGTTGATCACTTAATCTCATCATAGCAAATCTCCACTAGAAAAAAGACACAGCTCACATTTTAGGGACAAAGTACCTTTCCCAGATTATCAGGGCACAGGCCCATATTCTACCAACCCCATCGGGTATTCCTGAAACAATAAAGTCCTGTGACCTGGGTTAAACACAAGTGCTTCAGAATCGTGTCCCTCTTCATTACAAAAAAATCAAAACAAAACAATTAAAAAGCTCTCTACCTTTGCATCTTCCTCTGCTGCACCACAGGAAATTGCCAAACCTTTTTTCCAAGAAAAAATCCTTTAATATTCTCCACCTGTAAAAGACAACCCCCGCCTTCAGCTGAGGTCAATTTCAAATTGGCCAAGTGAGAATCAGCTGTGTGAACTCTGGGCTCAGACCTATCCCCTGCATAATTATTTGTTTTAACAGAGCAAACTGCTCTCCATGGTTGGTTAGTTGTTTTGCAGAAGTTTGAGGGTTTGTACAACCTATTAAAAGTGTTTCCTAGAGAAGAGTAAGAGACATATGCTTACTCCCATCCTTTCCTTGAGAGGAAAAAATAATTGTGCGTGTGAAATTGTACATCAAGTTGTAAAGAAATATAGTTGTATGTGGAAGACTGTTAACAGTTATCAGGAACCTGCACCTAATTTTGTTGGGCCTTAAGGCCTCGTGTGTGCTCTCACAAACTGTACATTGTAGAGTTTTATTCAAGAAAATGAGTACAGTTCTGTTCCACCTTTTAGTAAGAAAAGGCTGATTATTTTATTAATTCATTAAGACATGCTTTCTTTTACTGAAAAAAAACCCAGCCATTTTACAAAAATACAGGGCTTATATTACAGTGTATTGGATAACTATGAAACTTGAATGTATGAAGAACAACATTAACAACCTAATTCCTTTTTGAAAAATTAGATTTCACAAATATAATACAGTATTCAATATATTTCCAGGAGAAAGCTTGTTTCTCTCTTTCAGGTGGGCAGTATGTTGCAGTGTAACAGCCTCTGGTTAAATTGCCCTCTCTAGAATCAAAGGGAACAGCTTAGATAGAATCCATGGGCCAGGGTGAAATACTGTTTACAGCCTAAGGATATCCATTTTTACTAATTGTTTGTACCAAGAGGAATTGTTTCAAGGGGAGAGAGCAAGAGAAACACAGGTCAGACTGGCCGGCTGCATCGGTACCTGTGACACTTGGGCTGTGAAAACCTTGCATTTAGTCCCTGTACTTGAATCTGGGCAACACAGGATAAAACCTGTGTTGTTTGCAAGGCTCACGGGCTAAAAAATTGCCATTTATACCCTGCCTAAGGATCTGGTGGCATTAAATTGTAACTGTCCTCAGAGCACTCCTGCAGGATCTGGTCTTAATAATAAGGAAGTAATTCACAGATGAACAAATTTTGTCTTTTCTACATTAGGAGACATGCCTCAAAACCCAGCAGTCTTTCACTGTTACATGTGTTTTGTAGAGACACTGTCCATTTGGTCTGGCAGAAGCTACAGTGGGCATAATCCCCATTTCCATTGTGAACTGGCTATGCGATATCACTGACTGTCAAAAACTTACAGAGAAGTTTATGAAATTGTTGGTTTTCTTAAATTCTTACTTACTAGAGGCAGATAAATAGAGACTACAAGGAAGCAAAGGTTTCCATCCTCTGTGGTTTTGACAAATACTTGAAAGTGTGCTTCATGTATCTATCTCAGGAACAAGAAGCAAATCAAAATCAGAGTGCATATGATAAGTAATAGTATTCCACAACTTGGTGCACAGACTGCATTAAAAGAACAGTAAGACAGCAGGTTTCAGAGTAAATGTTTTTTTGGTTTATTGGCATTGTTGTTAACCTTCTGGATAGTGACAATCTAAAGTATACCAGTTTTACCTGAAAATGACTTACATCTTAGAGGTCATGCACTGTATTAATGCTAACATCTTAATTAGAATTTTTGTTCGTTTGTTTTTCTAGGGTGGAACACTGGATTTTTGTTAGAAATTCTGCAAAAGTGATACTATTGGGAAAGATGTCATACTTAATGAAAGGAGTTAAGTATTGCAGTCCTGTGAATCAGATGCACAAAATAACAGGAACTCTGTTTAAAGCACACATATTAAAGAACGTACTGGGCATCAATGAACAACAATTCAAAATCTCACGTACATTATCTCAACTTAGTTCTGGAAAAGCAAACTCTTACACTTATGTCATTGTTGGAGCTGGATCAGCAGGGTGTGTATTAGCCAACAGGTTGACTGAAGACCCTCTCAGTACTGTACTGCTTTTGGAAGCAGGCCCTAAAGATACCCTTCTAGGTAGTAAAAGACTGTTGTGGAAGATTCATATGCCCGCTGCATTAACATACAACCTCTGTGATGAGAAATATAACTGGTATTACCACACAACATCACAAAAGCATATGGATAACCGAATTATGTACTGGCCCCGAGGAAGGGTGTGGGGTGGCTCCTCTTCTCTCAATGCTATGGTTTACATCCGTGGGCACGCAGAGGATTATAATCGATGGAGCAGGGAAGGGGCGATAGGATGGGACTATGAACATTGCTTGCCCTATTTTAAGAAGGCACAGACACATGAACTGGGGCCAGATCAGTACAGAGGTGGAAATGGACCCCTGTATGTGTCAAGAGGGAAAACAAACCATCCTCTTCATCATGCATTTCTGGAGGCAACCCAGCAAGCTGGATACCCCTTCACAGATGATATGAATGGCTATCAGCAAGAAGGCTTTGGCTGGATGGACATGACTATACACCAAGGTAAATCATAAAGTGATCCTTAAGTAATTTATGTTTCTGGCCCACCAGTGATACTTCTGAAATCATTTTGGAATATCGTCATATAATCTGCACTGAATGCCATTTGGTTTTTTAGATCACTGAACAGCTATGACACCATTTACACCCTGTTCATTTCACAGTAGTTTGCCAGCCATCTAGTGTGTATTAAATTGAAAACTGCATTAGCATGCAAGTTGATTCATAATTAAATTTGTGAAGAAGTATAGGTTTTCAGAATGTCATTGTGAAATTTGTTACATTAAAATAAAATCTTTAGTTGTTATATAAAATTACATTTGCCTTGAACTGTGTAAAGTGTATGAGGGCTTTCCCTCTGTAAACATCCTGATGGTTATTGGTCAAAATCTTAAAGAATACTGAGCATGACTATTTTGATGTTCGATGACATTGTAGGTAAAAGATGGAGCACAGCTAGTGCCTACCTTCGCCCAGCCTTATCACGCCCAAATCTGTCAGTTTCAGAGAAGACACTTGTGACAAAAATCTTGTTTGAAGGAACAAAATCCATTGGTGTTGAGTATGTGAAAAATGGGCAAAAGGAAAAGGTAAGAGATTTTTATTTTCCAGTAAGAAAGGTATGAGTCAAAGCAAAATTAATTTTTTGTTTTAAAACAAACTTTTATTAGAAGTGGCACTTTACTATGCAAAATGTCTGCTTTTCAGATGCTGTGCTGTCTCTTCCAGTATGTGATTGTCAATTATTCTACAGTAGGTAGTATTTCAGCTGAATCAATTTAGAGATTAACATCTCCATGATATTTCCGTCTCTTAGTATTGAGGAGACAAGACACAACGTGATGTTACCTGAGAGTATTGTGTAAGGTTTCTGGCTGGAACCTGTGGTGCAATCGTGCACTGTCTCCGTGTATTGACTAGTGCTGACATGCTGATGATCCTGAAAAACAATTCTGAAAATGCTATTCTGGCATAGGAAATAAAAGATATTGAAATCTGAATGGTTCAGGGGATAAATAATGAGTCATTCACTTCTACATCGCCACTGAGTTTTGGGATATTAATGATGAAACCTAATGATGAAACATTCCATATGGTTGGTTGCGGAATGAATATTTTCCAGTCTCAGTCCAACTTCCACCGACCATGGATCGTGTGGAAGGAAGCTTGAGTTCCCTTTACAACTTAATTCTGTGGATAAACAGTTCATCTTATGCAGCTTTCAATCCATTGATTCTATAAGATCTAAAACATTGTATTTTTCCTTAACTCTTTAATATTAAAGCTGACTATGGAGTATGTAACTAGGAAATTGCCAGAAAGGGATTTCTATGTTAATAAATTATGATATATAGTCACAAACAATTATGAAACAATTAAAAAGATCAATAGCAATATCCTGAAGAGAGGACAGTACAAATTTTGATGGTTTGAGTTCAGTAAGGCTTACAAGACTTAACAGGCAAGTGTTCTGTGACTTGAACACCTGCTAGAAAAGAAAATGCAATATAAATAAACTGTTGTTCATTTTCTAATGCACAGATCAAATCTGTTATTTTCTAAGTGGATTTCTAAAATGATTAACAATGTAAAACAGAGGTTGCAGAAAATTTAATTGATTTCATGAGCTACTAAATGTCTGCAAAAACAAGTGTTTCTACTTGCTGTTCTTGCGCCATTATCAAGATTAATTTTGTTGAAGATAGTTTCAGAAAGCTAATTACGCCTGATCAAGGCTTTCTGAATACTGGACCACTTTAATTACAAAATTCTTTATTGCTACTAATTTTCATACATATTAATACATGTATGAATTACACATAATGAATTATATATATCTCTATAATACATTACGAAAAGTACATCTTCAAAGTACTTAACCTTCCTCTTTTTCCCCCAAGTATTAAAATTGCAGGACTTGTCTGCTTTTACTTTCTGGAAAATATTATACCTGTCAGGATGGAAAAGTTAATGACTTTATTATGTTATGAACATCAAGATGAGACACTTGATTACATTAAAGTGGTTTTGGGTTTACAGTCTGGTTGAGGTAGGACCTCTTTTATGTCAGTCATCTGTAAAGTTAAAAGATCATCAAAACCTGATTCAAGCATGATTGAAAATCTATTCAAGCCAGTGGAAAGACTTAATTGTTATTTCAGTAGACATATGAATCCCAGAGAGTTCCCAGTACCCTAGTGAGCCCTCTGAGTAAAGGGAAAAAGTGTGTGGAGGTATCAATATTTTCTTACTCCACACAGTTTTTAACAGTGAGAAACACTAAGGGGGATAGTTCTGATCCTAAATTTAAGAGACATGACAACAGCAAAGAGATAGCCCCCGGATACAAATGACACAATGATTTTGGTATTACTAGATGGGGATATTTTGGGGCAGAAATCCTTGGAAAGAAGATGTTCCAAAAATACTTGCAGAAAAGGTTCTAGAAAAAGAACTATCCAGCATAGAAAATGGAGTCAAAAGCAGAGGAATAGTTTACAGCCTATATCACGGGCAGCTCAGGGCTCAGACCCAAACTGTTTGGTGAAAAGTCTGTCAGCAAACAGAATTATATATATGCCTGGTGTCAGGGTCTGCTCAGTAGTGCTTTAGTGGTTGAGGGGCTTCTGAGAACTATAGTGAGCTAAGAAACTACACATTAATCTTGGTTGAATTAAGAAAAGAAGCTCTTGAGAATTTTTGAGCTAGCACATTTCTGAATTCAAAATCTTCCTTAGGAGTTTCAGTTTTAATTTACAAAACATTACTGATGCTTAGCTGACTAATCCAAGTGCCAGAGGGACTTTTTTTCTGGCCAGTAACACAGGCGTTTATTGGCAGCCATGGTACTGGCTGACCTGAATGTTTGTGTGTCATACAGTTTGAATGGATTGTAAACATGGGAATAAATACAGAAATTATCAAAGTGAAAGCTTGATCATTTCTCTCTGCAGAAATTTCTGGCAAGATGGGAATGCATTTAGAATGAGAAAAATATGAGGGAAGGGTGTCTAATCTGGATCAGAATAGCGTATCCGAACAGAAACTCTTGAGATGTTGCTTGCATTCAGATCAGGCTTAATAATGTTAGGACATTTGTGCTCATTTCCTTTTAGGCTTTTGCCAGTAAAGAAGTTATTTTAAGTGGAGGTGCCATAAATTCTCCACAGCTGCTTATGTTGTCTGGGATTGGCAATGCAGATGATCTAAAAAAACTGGGGATCCCTGTTGTTTGCCATCTTCCTGGTAATTTTATTATTTCTTCTAACCTTACATCTTCCTATGGATGCAATTCAAAGATCATTAAATGAAACGACCCCATGAAATTCAGTTGTCTTTAAGTCAGGTTGTGTGGACTGAAATTAAGTGTTACAAATCAGTGGAAACATGCATGGGTTTTAGAACTGAGCAATAAACTCCTACACTTTCTTCACTATATTTGATAGTAAAAAATGCCTTTCTGAAAAATGCCACTGAGTACTTTTAAAGCAGCATGCTTATCATTTAGAATTTTGATTGGGTTTGTATAAACTCTCACTGTCATATGTATTCAAAGATAGATGGAATAACCTGAACTTCTCCTTTAAACTAGAAAAGCTAGTACTGAATTTAGAAGTGTTATCTGGCCATTCTAGAACAAGTGACGTGTCTGCCATTTAACTTTCTATTCTCATTTTAGTTATGCTATGTTTATGTAAAGCCTTATTCTGACCTGAGCAAAAGGCTGATATAAGTCATGGTCTTGGTCAGAGTCATCACTGCCCTTGTAAGAGGTTAGTTTAGTTCCCATTTATGCTGGTTTTTGGTTGCAAATATTGTGTGTAATTGTTCTGTGTGAAATAACTTTTTCCCCCTTCCTTTCTTCTCCCTCCTCTCCCTTTCTACTCCTCCCCAGGAGTCGGCCAGAACCTTCAAGATCATTTAGAAGTGTACGTCCAGCAAAAGTGCACCAAACCTATTACTCTATATAACGCGCAAAAGCCAGTTAACATGGTGAGGATTGGTCTAGAATGGCTTTGGAAGTTTACAGGTATGAAGCAAAGTATGCAATCATTCTACCATTGATTGCGTTACAATTATTACAGCCTTTTATCCACAAATTTCAAAGCCTAGGAGCCTTCATATATAATTTTCTTCATGTCCTGGGAAATAACTGGAATTTTCAAGTGGACTTGAACTATTTCCTTTTTTTTTCTAAATCAGAATCTTTTAAAACAGTTATTATATCTTAGATAACAAGGTAATTTTCTATACACTGTTTTTTAACAGTTTTATATCTCTCTCATTTTAAGAAAAACTCTACATTTAAAAATCTCGGTGCCACTGAGAAAAGCTGTTGTAAAAAAAAGGAGAAACAATTCTATTTGAAATAGATATTGTGTCAATAAAAACATATTGTTGAGCTGAATAAAGTCTTCTGTATGATTGCCCCAAAAGCATTAGTTTGTTGCTCTGATCAGAACCCTTTAGGCTTGCATGTAAATCATAAGTGACTTTTGTTTAAATGACACATGCATTTTACAGTAATCCAGCTGTAAATTGTACTGTAAAAAGAATCTGTAAAAGTAATCCTTGAAATCAGTAAAATAGTTTGGCTAAATCTGAAGAATTCATCACTTGCTGAATTATTTTGTTTGTAGTTGACAACTTACAGCTGGGTATGTGTGGCTTTTTACCGTGCAAGTAAACATTGAGGGCTGACTCATGCTTTTAAACAGATGTGAATATACAGAATATGAGGGGCGTTGCAGGGTCTTCATCTTCCCCCTCCAGGGCAGTGACTGTGGAGGGCTCTGCCCATTCCACGTGGCTGGTGGGTAACTACTGCCTGGTGTGCAGCACGCAGGGCAGTGATACCAGGATGCTGCAGTGGGTTCCCTCCACACCTCTGAGGATCGTGGGACCAAATCTGCCTCTGAAGTTAGACCCTAGGCCTACCTGAGATAACTGTAACATCCTACTCTCAAATAAGTAGGATTTCCAAAGTTATGCATACTTACATTTGTCTAGTCATTAAAAGCAGAGGGAAGTAATGCATTAAATTACAAGCTTTTCATAATGGATTTGCATTCCTTGCAATTTCCATTGTACATATGAATTATTCATAGTAATGAAACCAAGAGTTAAGAAGAGGATTTCTTGCTTTTCTGAGGTCTTTTAATGGCATTTTCTCTTTATTTACTCTCTCTAGGTGACGGAGCCACTGCCCACTTAGAATCTGGTGGTTTTATCCGAAGTGAACCAGGGGTTCCTCACCCTGACATTCAGTACCACTTTCTCCCTTCTCAGGTGATTGATCATGGTCGAGTTGCTTCCGCAGTGGAAGCTTACCAGGTAAGCTGTTGAAGAACATATTCCAGTAATGTTGTGTAGTGGTTAGCAAGGAGACTTACCCTCTATTATTAATATTGATAATTTAGTTATAGTCTGAAAAACACTTTGTTCAGTATAATACAAAAGAGCTGGTGTAACCTCCTACACTGGGGAAAAAACATGAGCTTGTTACTTGATACTGCTACCAAAATTATGTTACTTTTTCTCTCTGGGAAAGTAGGCAAGTATTAAACAGCTGTTTAAGTATTTGCACCACTAAAGTGCCATAGTGCTATTGATTAGGGTACCATTGTGCTAGATGCTGTACAACACTAGAACAAGGTGTTCCCTGTTGCACTGCACTTTAAATGGAGGTTTAAGTAAGAATGTATGAGGCCACTCTTCTATTCGTTGGCACAAATCCAAGCCCCATTCAAACTATGAACTTGTTCCAAAAGTCCGCACTAATGCTGGGGAGCTGTCGCTGAATATATATGTTTCTTCTTGCTAATCTCTTTTCTTCAGTGATGACAGTAATTTGGCCTGATTGTATCTGAATGCTCTGCTATTGCTAAATTGGAATGCTTGTGTTCTAAATGAAAAGAACAGCCGTGAGTTGATGATAGGTATATTCCCTTCCCCTTATGGAATATCATATTTACAGAATATTTATAAAGAATGGAAAAATATTCAATGGCATTTTCCATTATCTCCCTTTAATGTTTACATTTACTTAAAGACTGTCCAAATTTAAAAAAAAAAAGTCATACTGAAATTGGAAATAGGTCTGGTGGGATTGTGTCACGAGTATAGCATGGGTGTTGCAGGTCCATGTGGGACCCATGAGGAGCACGAGTGTGGGCTGGCTGAAGCTGAAGAGTACAGACCCAAAGGACCATCCTATCATTGAGCCTAACTACATGTCAACAGGTAAATGCAGCCTCTTCTTGCTCTGATATCAACTTATTCCCTGCCCATTTCAGTAGCAGATTTTCATATCAACACCAGTTCAGAGGTGCTGGTTGGTGCATTGTTACTTATTTCTCATTTGTAAAATTCAGTATCAAAAGGGGCCATTGTGCAAAGCACTGTATAAGCCAAAAAGAACTCCCCGTTGGGAATGCAGTCAGGGTTCTTTGTGTTTGCTGCATCATGCTGTTCATTCCACAAGCTCCCTCTGCTTGTGAGGGAGCGGATTTGTGTGCTGCTTTGTGCTGAGACTAGTGTCCTTGGCGAGACAGGGAGAATAGCAAAATAAAGAGCAGCTCTTCACAGCTCACCTTTTCCCTTTTGGGATTGTGCAATGTAAGTGACAGTTTTGTTCATAGTGAATGTAAATACCTGAGACTTTGAAAAATATCCTACTTTATTATGGCTTTTAGCAATAAGTGAGAAACTCTCCCTCCATCTTTCTTTGATGCTATTTTTTTTCTATTATACATTCTGTATGTATTACTAAATTTAGGGTGTACTTATAGTTTTCTTATTTTCTCTTCCTACAGAAAGAGATATTTGGGAATTCCGCCAATGTGTCAAGTTGACCAGAGAGATCTTTGCTCAAAAAGCTTTTGAAAAATTTCGTGGGCCTGAAATTCAACCAGGGAACCACGTTCAGTCCGACAAAGAAATAGACGCTTTCATAAGGCAGAAGGCTGATAGTGCTTATCATCCTTCCTGCACCTGTAAAATGGGGCAGCTTTCAGATAGCACTGCTGTAGTTGATCCCCAAACAAAAGTAATTGGTGTTGAAAACTTGAGAGTAGTAGATGCTTCAATAATGCCCAGTGTTGTCAGTGGAAATTTGAATGCCCCAACTATTATGATAGCAGAGAAAGCTGCAGATATAATTAAGGGCCTCCCCTCACTTCAGGAGAAAAATGTTCCTGTATATAAGCCCAAGACCTTGGAAACACAGAGATAAACAAATGTTCTCATCCTTTCATATCTTTTTACTCAGGCTTTCATCAGCATGTTGGTATGTAATACTGAACATGCCAACAAAATAAATACTATGCAAAACAACATATCCTATTAAAATTACTATTAATTTGAATCATTCCCTTATATTAGACTACCTATTCATTTTTTAAAATCAGTTGGCTTAAGCTGCTTACTTTAGTTAAACTAGTTAAACACGACCTTTTGTGGTACAATCCAAATTTTTTGTTGAAGACAAGCTATTTGTAAATGACAAGAGATTTGTGCACATAAGCTAGAAATACTATGCAATTGTGTGAGGAATGGAAGAAAGTAATGTGTGCTATTTTGAAAATCATTGTAGTGTGCCTTGTTATTTAAAGGAAGGATTTTAACTGCTGTGAGAGCGTTACCCAGGATAACAGCTAGTCAGTAATCCCCACATCCTGCAAAGAATCTTAAGCAAATGTAAGTATTTATACAATTGATTATTCAGAGGCCAAAGTAGTACATATCAGAATTCATTGGACAGAGAGGAACCTGCCTGTGTGTGGAATTTGTCAAATGTGGTTTTTTTTACGAGAGGAATGCAGAGTTTACAAATCCTCACTTAAAGTTAGACTTTGCCATACTTAGCAGTCTTAACAGTATAGTATTCATAAAGAATACATACATTGTATTTATCAGAAACTTATTTTTCTAAAAAACGCAGAGCAGGAGCTGATATTAATAAAAATATACCAGAAAACTGGAATTTCTTCTTGCTTTTTTGCAAGGAGCTTAGTAGAAATCAGTTTACAATTTAATCTGATTTAGTTGCACCACTTTTATCATTTAGCACGCTAGGAGATCTGCATTTTGTATATGTCCTTAAAGTTACTGGTCTTTGCTCAAAGATGAGTGTTTGCAAAAGATATTTCTCAGGAAATACTCTGAATGGTGCCTTACTATTATATAAATTTTATTTTAAAAAATTACAGCCAAGGTAGATTTAAAATGAAATGTTATTCAAAATAACTACATAAGGTGACATATTGATGTTACAGGAAGAGATCTTTTTAAATTAGAAGGCAAGTAACTTATTCAGTGAACCAATGCTATATTTTAAATCTTTGTTTTACTATCTTCAGATGTGCAAAGCAAGATATGGGATCTTTCATGGCTGCTTTCTGTGTCAGTCTAACTTTCAGATACTGATTTTTTTTAAAAAGAAAACAAACCTAAAGAAACTGATATCCCTGAATGAAACTGAATCCATTGAATTGTTTGGATTCATTAAGTATTCCAAAATAACTTCTGACTAAGCAGCTGTCAAATTATAAGGTAAAAGCTTCTGTAGCCTAAGATTGCTTAGGACTTGTGGTAAACAGAATAAACTCTTTTTTTTCCAGAAAAAATGGATTTTTACACCATTTGAGCAGATTGTAAAAAAAAAACTTGCTGACTCAGATGTTGGCTAGAGGGACAACTGCAGATGTTTAAGGCAGACACTTCTTCCTGGTGCTGCTGGCTGTAAGGCAGTGGTTGGAAAGCCCTGCTGCTAACTGAGGGAAAGGACTTCATTCATTAGAGTATCTGCATAAAGACAAACAAAAATACTGAAGATGGAAGATGATAGCAGGGAACTCTGCTCCAAAAAGATACAGGTAAAACCTTTCTATGTGTGATGCATTCTTTTGGAATGAGGGGAAGAGCAAGAATATTTTAAGTAATAGGTGATTGATTAGCTGTGTTAATAAGATCATTCATCTGATAGAACTGCATTTGGGGAAAGCATGAACTGTTTGTATGCTGTACCTTTCTAGGGCAAACAGTTTTTATTCAGCACCTGTGCTTTTGAGATTTTCATGTAAAGCTACTCAGCAGGTATCTTAGTGTCATTTGGGATACAAAGTATTAGGATACTGAGAATAATACATACTGGAGAGACTTACCACAGTTCTGTGCTGCTGAGAGGGGAAGCAGTTTGGAAGGATGGAATCCTGGAGTTCCTGCATTCGCAGATTTACAACATGGGTTTCGACTCTAGGCATGCAAAATAGAAATTGTTATTATGCAACTGCAGAGGATTAAGTATGTCTGACATAACTCACTACCGAACACGCACACAGAGCTGTCCTCTGCCATTATGTAAAGCTCTAAAAGTGAGGAAACAGCAAGGTCAGACACACGTGCCAAGCTGCATGTGTGTCACGGTCAGGTACGCATTGCTGCATTTTGCAATCAGATAGTCAGGCATTTCTTCTGAAACATCACCATCATCTTTTCTTGCAGTTCTAAACACACAGAGACACCTTGAAAACTCCTCCCTTTTTAAACATTTAAATATTTTCATTGCTGGGAACCACAGCTGCTTTATTAATTTAGGCCTCCCTGCTACAGAACGTTGAGGCACCTTCCTGACGTGCCTTTGATGCGGCGCTAAAGCACTGGCTCAGGTATTTGAAAGTTTTGCTGCCCTGCAGGAATCTTTAGGGAGCATCCAGCTACCAGTAGATTCTACTGCATTGTATCTAGCTGCTGACACCGAATTCCTCTTAAAATTGTTCTTACTTCTAGCAGAGTCTATCTGCTAAGGGATACTTTGAACAGGTACAAGATATTCTAACATGGTCTGTGGAGCACGGGCAGTCTGCTAGGTAAAATTAACCATCTTTTACACCCTATCAGATTGCAGAGCACAGGCTAATAATTTGAGAGTTTAACATATTTAACAAAATAATACAGTGTATAATTGAATATTATTCCCAGTTCTACCCAGATATAAATTTTTCTATAAATGCACAGGTGATACTACATTAGGTATTCAAAAAGAGTTAACTGCAAAAGCTGTTTGATGTAAGAATTTGGAAATTAGTAGACCTGCCAGCACGGCTTGAACCAGCAGTGGAACTGCGACTGAGAACATCAGCATTTCCATGGTAATAGCTTGCTGCAGATACTGCTGACACAGTTGGGGGTCTCTGGCTGGGGACAATGAGATTAAGAAAGAAAAGTGACCAAAGAACGTTTATTTTGTACACATATTTCAGTTCAAGGTGGTTTTGTATGAGAAGTGCCATTAACAGCAGCAGAAAATAGCAGTATTTGTAAAACTGTATTATGTTTAATTTATCTAAGGCCATTCAAGGTTTTGTACACCAGAACTTCTGATGTTTCTGCAGCTTTAAATCCTTTCCAAGTGTTTGATTTCATTTAGTCTGCAGCCAAATGAGGCAGCTATACAAACAGCGTAAAACTGGAAAGTGGGCTTGGAACATGCATTTTCTATAAAATAAACATAGAAATATATTTTGAGCAATAATAAAAACATTTATGCATTTTTAAAAAGATGGTAGTTAAAATGAAGAGTTATTGTAGCAACAATACAAGAATATTTTATTACAGTATTATAATTTTTAGTCTCTATTCTTCTGTCCAGGCTCCAAAAAAAAAAGACATTGTTCAAATTGATGTATTTTATGTATTCACTTTTTTAGTGAATTCAGTAAACTTAGATATGTGTAATTCTTTACTAATGTTTTCTGTCATTATATAGATATATAAACAAATCTAGAAACTTCTGAAATATGCTTTAATTGTTGAGATAACTTCTCGTTTTTGTGTACTGAGTAATTACTGTGATTGGTGGTATTTTAAGGGTGCCAACTACCATGTAACTGTGCAGATACTGATTATGTTTTTCCATATACTTCTGTAATAAAATTAAACAGGTGTTCTCTGTATCCATATATATATGTTCTCCCTTAACCAACCTTAACATATATATTAAACCATTAATATATAGAATATAGTTTGTAACTAAATTATAGAACATGGTTTGTAACTTATTTTTTCAGAAGTGGGTATACCACATTAAGTGGAACTTTGAAAACTACTAATTGTTATTTCACAGTGATACCAGATCCGGAATGCTCGATTTTGGTCTCCTAAAGTTTGTTTCTATCAGCTGGGCAAGGGCAACAAAGGGACTGCTGCTGGGACTGTCGATTTTGGTCTCCTAAAGTTTGTTTCTATCAGCTGGGCAAGGGCAACAAAGGGACTGCTGCTGGGTGACCTACCCACGCGTTTCCTGGCAGACAGCATGAAAGATTTGTTTTGATGTTTTAGGGGATTTTATTCACATTTTCCTAGTTGTTTCCATAGATCTGTATCTAGGAAGCAGTAATCTCCTAAGTATTAGGGGAGTAATAGTACTCTTTTTCATATGGATACTCCAGTCGCTTTATTTCTTTCTGGTGAACAGCAACCATTCATGGAAGATTTGCACACTGTGGTAGCATAAACTGAGGAGTATATTCCACACGTTCCCTCCCATTCTTCAAACAGTGCAGATAGAATATAACTTTTGGAGCTTATTGGTGAAAACTATTAGTAAAAAGAGTCCCAAGTATAATAAAATTATTACACAGTTTTATTTTGAAGAACATTTTGCATTTTTTTTAATACAAAATGATGTAGGTCAAGAAATAATTTACAAACCTTTAAGTTCTTATCCTGGCATTTGAAATAAGAATGATTTCAGAGGAGGTCTGTAAGCTATTCATAGGAAACTGTCGTTATGTACAAAATGTTTATTGACATGTTTTAAACATCACATTTGTAAAAATGTGAACTGGATTGCTATCTAGCATATGAACTACAGGTAAAACCTGATAAGATAACTTGTTAGAACAAGTCATTGTTATCCAGTGCTAACAAAATAGACAGTAGCTTTCAGTATTTTTTGATTTTCCTCCAAGGTTGTATTAGCCTCAAAGTCATTTCAGGGTTTTACTGCATTGTGAACAATATCTAAGCCCTCTCTTGATTGCATAAAAATAAATCTTTGAAATAGTACACACAGAACAACAGAAAGGTAGAGGCAATAAAATAGTGTACTTCTTATATAGTTTTTGGTTCTATGAAGAATCATTTTATCATATTTCATTTCTTTCCAAGCAGAGTAAGTAGTACTGAAGTAAAACATTTTCATTTACCTGTGAAATATTTTCTGCCCAAGATGCTTCCTATCAAAGTACGGTATGTAGGTCATATACTTTGTCAAAACTAATTGTCTCATCACCAATATCCTGGCATGAACTTGCCAATTTTTTAATGATTTCAATATTTATTTTTAGCATGGGATTAATACAAAAATAAAATTACAGCATATTTTTCAATCAAAAAGTTAAAATAACTTTAAATCTTTTACCTTTCCAAGTATAAGACTGTAAATAGTCAACTGTGCATCCCTTATGCAGAGAGATTCATTTGACTCAATTATTTAAAAAAAAAAAAAAAAATCTGTTCTGTTGCCAAGTTCCAACTTGACACTTTATCCCAAAAAGAGATTTACACTGAGAGGTGGCTCTATTTTAATATTTATGCTATAGATCTATATATTCCAAGTAAAAATACTTATATCTAGAATTCTGTGGAGAGTTACAATAATTAGGGTCCATAAATATTGCTGCAGTTCAATTACGATACAATAATTACAAAATATAGAACATCTCTTTACAAATACAAATCATCGTATATTACAATTCATTTACAATAATTTCTACTATATAATTTTTAGCAAACTATCTTATCTAATTCTACTATAACCTGGTTGCAAGTGCATTAGTAAGAATGCAATTATTCCAGTATATTTTGCCCTTAACGTGATAGTCATAAAACAGACTATCTGAATGATATTTTCCTATGTAAACTGGTGTTACATATGACGGATTATTCTTTATATAACTTCTTTTTCCAACGATCTCTAACAGCATGACAAACTGTCTTTTAGAAGAGCATTAAGAAAAAAAATATCGGGAGGCAAGTTTGAAAACAATGTTAGAATGGATATGCACCGGGGAGCTGATATGCTGTCGGGCGCTGAGGTGATGACATTAGTGGTTGTCATCACTCGTCTCGTGTTGCTGTTTCCCACTCAATTCTGTGCCAGACTTTATACAGACATTTTCATTGACAAACCCCCGCTCTGCCGTGAAGGACAGCAGCACAAGGCTGAAACACAGCCAAGGTATTACAGCTCAGAATCCCCCTCTAGCCCTCAAAAAAGTGATTGTCACAATCTGCTTGGTTTCAAAATAACCTTATTCCTACTGAGAAACTGAAGATTCTGTGGGAGGAGACTCGACGTACTGCAGCTTTGATCACATTTCGGCAACCTGGAGATCATAAATTTATTAGTTATGGCTTCCTTGAGGTGTGACATCACTTGTACAAAACTTGATTGGTTATTTACTCCAGCTAGTGCCTAGCATCTTTAAACTATGAGGCACTTTTTCTGTTATTAAAATCATTTTCCTTTTAAATACTATAAGCTTGTAATGCATATCATTTCATCAGCTAAATCTTCTTCATATCGTCCCGTTTCTGGTTCTTCGTCACTGTAGCCAGGACCAAAATCTTGAAGTTCATAATCTTGTCTGCTTAAAATGGGAAACATATCCCCATTGGTCCCATTGCTAATGTTTCCATTGAGTAGATTACTTGCTGCACTTTCCATCTCATCAATAGTCATGTCACACGCATCAGCGATTTCGTGTTTCGTAGCTGAAACAAATTTAGGGTCCTTTGCATACCTTCCTAGGCCTTCAGATATAAGTACCTGGCAGATGGAGGAGAGAGAAAGAGATATATGGTGGAATTACAGAAGAATAGACAGGTCATAGCAACATATGTCATTTGTGGAAATTACTAAAAACCCCATGCAGAATTCCTACAGCAATCCTGCATGTGTAAAGACCAATCAAATCAACAATCAAATGGCTCCAAACCACACCCTAACAGTTATGTGATAATGTAACTGATTATGCAATACATCCTGCCTTTTCTCTTTAGATAAACATCAAGCATCAGACTGAGACACTAAAGACAACAGTTAATGTACCACAGAAGGTGCAATTAGAACAATTACCTGAAACACAGAATCAGAGATATGTTCTTGGTACTTGAGTGTATAAAAGAAAGATGCTGAAGTCCCATTTGCAAATACAATTTAATGAGTATATTGTTCAGCTCATAGCAATGGAAAGGAAGTGATAGATGGATGCAAGAACAGTAACTGCAATTCAGAAATGCTATATACTCTCTATCTTCAAATCTTTTTTTAATATAAAAGGGAATTCTTAATATTCTTCAATACACCTACAAACCAATCCTTGTAGTTGTTATTCACCTCTCTGCATTTAGTACACTGATTCATAGAGCTCTTGTTCTTTTATTCAGATTACTACAAAAATGGTGATGTATTTCTATAGAAACAACAGAGAGAACATGCATATGCATGTATAGAAACAACAGAGAGAACATGCATATGCACCATCTCTTCCCTATCCGTCATTGTGGAAGGACTCTTCATCACTGATCCCCATCTAGAAAACTTAAATTTAATTTCAAATCTATTTGAAATCTCTCCAGTTCTCTGACACACTAATGTTAGGATTTAGATTCAGCGGAAATCCTTTACTAAATGACAATTACAAATAAGTTCCCCTGTCTTTACCTAGAAACAGTTTTGGGCTTTGAAACTCAAAATGCTACATTTTCAGAGAGATAATGTGGACTGAATGATAATGCAGACTGAATTATATGCTTTTCTAAAGTTAACACACAAACTGAACAGACAGACACTCTTGGCTGCTGCAGAGGTTTCTGTAATACTTACCGCTTCTACCAAACTGTCTGCACTCCTCTGTTTGTCACTGTGTTTATGCCTAAAGTCATTGGGTACAGTTAAATTGGCTGGTGTAAATGTTCGGTAGGAAATATCGGGGTCGTCTGTGTACCAGGAGCTCCTGTGCAGGGAAGGCAGGCTGCCGTTCATATGCTCTGTAGATTCAGCCCTATCGACCTGGATGAGAGGCGTGTAGTAGGGACTCCGGTCCCTGTTGGGAGGGGTGGCAGGGGGGGTAGCCCAGGAACGCGTTGAACGACTCGGTGAATGTTTATGAGCTTTGCTGGAATCCAGACCTGCAACAGCCATCACCTGGTGAGGGGAAGAATTTTAGAAGTGAGTGATTTCAAATGCTCAGGCAAACTCATTTCTCAGTTCATTTTAGCAGTTAGTTCAAAACCCATTGTTCAGGCAGCAGCTATGCAAAGTTAGTATCTTCTGATGTTTAATTGTTGTGTTAAGTAGGAATAGGATTGAAATTGGTAAATTGGCAGGATAAAGTGGTATTTTTTTCTATTATTACTTGAATCACAAAATCTTGGTATTCGCATTAATAAAGAAAAACAATTGCTTATACAATATATTAAACGAAGAAAGTAAAGCATAGAAACATTCCTCCTGTCCTGTAGGGACAGGATAGGGAGCTGTCAGCATTTTCCAAGCATTCTGGATGGTGTCTCTGGGCAATGGAAATACCATCTTCCCAGGGTCACATCAGAGCTGGGGACTGAGCCTCAGAAAAAGGGTGTGTTGTACTTGCAAATTCTCACAAATGGAGCCAAGTAACTGCATAAGATTAACAGACAGTTGCCATGTTATGCACTCCTGGTCAAAATCCCTTAGGGCATCCTGGCTGTTTGTGGACACTTGAAGAGTCAAACTACTCATTTTCAATGTTTTGTAGAAGATTCATGTTTGAGAAGCCTCATGTCTGGCAACTGCAAGCCTATGCTTGGCCTAGAAGACGTGCACAGGCAAACTACATAGTACACCAGTACTGCTTCAAACAACCACCAAAGTCAGAAGTACAATATAGAAGCTGCAACGATGTAATTCATTATTAGTTAAATAAAATGTTGTGTTTACCTGCTGTTGCATCAAGTGAAGCGGTAAAGCA